TTTCTGGGGTTTTGTTTAGCTTCTTATTTGCAACATAGTATATAGTTGCTTAGACTTGCAGATGAGAGGCCGGCAAGTGAGGCGGGGAACGTTGGAGTCTGCAGCAAGCAAGCCTCGTGCTCGCTTCAGTGCCTGGCTGCCGGCCGCCATCTTGGCTGACAGTTAATTTGCATATACTCACTGATTAGCCAATGAAAAGGGTAGCGGTCGTACGCTAATTACCATGTTTCTCTTTTATTAGTGTAGATTAATATACCAGCTCAATACTTTTTCAGCCTTAGTGTTTTCTATAGGCTAACTGTAGGCCCCATTTGATTCTCCTAGGCCCTCAGTGGAGACAGTCTTACACTGGCTGTCAGGATTTTAGTTTTTCCCACTTACAAATCTGATGAAGAAGCACAAAAATGATAACCATTTTATTGTACATTTTGCTTTCTGAAAACAAAAATAAAGCTTCATTATTTTTATTTTTATTATAATAAAGATATAGTTTACCTCAGGGAGGTTGCCAAAGTGTCTTCTATTATTTAAAAGAATATATTCATTTTAAGAAATATAGAACAGAGTACACATATGTCACATTAAGTCCAATTTTTCTATCAACTATGTAACTTTAGACAATATATTTTAAGGTGTTCAGCACATCTTCTCTGTAAAATGAAGCAATAAATTCAGCCACTTTATAATTTTTATAAAAATTATGAAATGCCTTCCCTTAGATTGATAGATATGTGAAAATATATTTTCAGTATTAATTTTATATAATGCTTGCACCTTCCCATTTATATACTAAGTATAAATATTTCTATAATCTAAGTTATTTTACAGGTAAGATGAAATATATATTTAAAGTATGATAATTTGTAGAGATGTTTCAAATATTTTTAATATGATATTTACATGTTTTTATGGTTTACAATAAATTAATAGGAAAATATTGGATTGATCCAAATCTCGGATGCCCTTCAGATGCCATTGAGGTTTTCTGCAATTTCAGTGCCGGTGGTCAGACATGTTTATCTCCCGTTCCTGTGTCAAAGGTATGTATTGAATTTTAGAATACATGTCAGTAATGGCTAAAAATCAGTCAGTGAACAATAATTTTTAAAATTCTGTCACTGTAAATAATTACAAATTTTATGAATGGAAGCAACATATTGTTCTCTACCATAGGTAAGAAATAAATTTTTTGTTTTTGAAAAATAATCCTAGTTAATCTTGACATTTTGATTGTGTATTTTTATGATTGGTTTCTCTTGACTTACTGTACTTATTATGCTTTAAAAAAAATTTTTAATGTGTACCATATGTTTTTATATAGGCACATAAATTAGAAAATCCCTATGCAGCTGCAGCGGTTGTAATCAATAATCAGTTCCCTTAAATTATACTGAAAATTATATTATCACTAGAGGCCCGGTGCACAAATTTGTGCACAGGTGGGGTCCCTTGGCCTGGCCAGCGATCAGGGCCTATTGAGGCCGTCTTGCTCAGTCCCTATCAGGGCGATCGCAGCTGGCAGGCCGGGAGGAAAGGGGGGGAGGAGAGGGAGGGACTGCAGGAGGTTGGCCTGCTGGGGGTGAGGGGCCAATCGGGGCCTGCAGGCCATGGGGAGGGACCACGGGAGGTTGGCTGTGGGAGCACACTGACCACCAGGGGGCAGCTCCTGCATTGAGCATCTGCCCCCTGGGGTCAATGCACGTCATAGCAACTGGTCGACCAGTCATTCAGTCGTTCAGTAGTAACAGTCGCTTAGGCTTTTATATATA